CAGGTCGTTCTTGGGATCCCAGTCCAAACAGTTGATCTTCGACAAATGAGCTGGTATGATCTGTAATGACATTCCGCTTTTCTGAAAATTAGCAACGTATAATCCTACAAACATTTTACTGTCATACTCTTGTATCCCAAACTCGAACGTCCCCTTCGTGAGCGGTGGCGCAGACATTGTCAATCAGCTTTGACCACTTTACCTGATAGGCGCCTCCTATAGAAAATTTTCACGAACAGTGTCAATTATCATATCTGTAGCGGAAGTGTTACATATACCCGAACGAGTATGACTGCAAATTTACCTAGAAAATCGTTAAAAGTATTCTGGAACTGAACAACGGGTGTCTGTGTCATGAGCATGATCAGCTGCGCGGATACAGAAGCCACCAGCGTAATAACTATCAACAGCGGATTCATCTTGCAGATCGTTTCCATGCAGAGACTCCACACAAACCATCTCAGACAATGGAGAAGTTAGTACAAATCATGTGTCATTGTGCTAAACCGTACCAACAGTCTGATAAGCTGGGACTAAACAGAGTCTTTGTATATAGAGCACAATCAGTTCCTTAGAACCGCTTCACGAGTCCAAGCATATTTTTCCACAGAAAAAATGACAGCATTCCTGACTCAACAGCTAGACTGTATTTATACAAAAAATGCGTAATAGTGAAGTCAGGAAAATACTGTCGAAATAGCGCTTAATACACATAAACAATCCTTTACCTTGTGCACTATGAAAGTTGCACCGACGTCGTAAGATCAGAACAGCTCGTCATAAAAATGCAACGCGCGCATCATAAATCTAGAAACTACTTCAGTGCGGTAAGGAAACTGCGCGCCCCTCATGTCAGAAGTCCCATTCTGTACCATATCCGGGAGTTCAGGTAGGAGGAGTTATGCTTGCTAGGAAGAACAGGCACGATGTGCAGACACTGAAACACGTGATCTTTCAACTCCGTCGTAGACACTTAAAACGCCAGAAAAAATATGCTGATA